AATGTAATAAATGCAAAAATAAATACATGAATAGAAATTCTAATGAAATACAAATAAATTAACAAACAAACAAACTGAATTCTAAAACATAAATAAATGCTTTTAATTGTTTTTTTTTTAAATTGACAACCTTCTATTTAATAGTAAATAAAATGTTAATAAGTAAATAAGATTGAATAAATAAATAAGATTTAATGAATGAATGAATTAATTAAAAAATGAACATTATAAAATATAAATAAGATTTGTAACTTTGGATAAAAGTGTCTGCCAAATGAGCAAATATAAATGTAAAATAAATGTGTTTAATTATTTATTTAAATTCCTCATCTTTGCATTTAATTTCAGGTTTTCATTTGATTTGATCATAAAATACTTGGTTCGCCTACACTAGCAGAGAAAAGTTTGGTCTGAAATTTAGTCGAGCCAGACAGAGAAGGAAGTATTCCTAGAATGCACCCTCAGCACAAAATTATATGGAAAATCATCATAGTAAAGAATCACCAGATGCATTACATTGCTGGCGTTCAAATACTAAAACAAAATCATATGTGACCCTGGACCACAAAACCAGTCATAAGGGTCAATTTCTCAAAATTGAGATTTATACATCAACTGAAAGCTGAGTAAATAAGCTTTACATTGACGTATGGTTTGTTATGATAGCACAATATTTGGCCGAGATACAACTATTTGAAAATCTGGAATCTGAGGGTGCAAAAAAATTAAAATATTGAGAAAATCATCTTTAAAGTTGTCCAAATGAAGTTCTTAGCAATGCATATTACTAATCAAAAATGAAGTTTTGATATATTTACGGTATGAATTTTACAAAATATCTTCATGGAACATGATCTTTACTTAATATCCTAATGATTTTTGGCATAAAAGAAAAATTTATAATTTTGACCCATACAATGTATTGTTGGCTATTGCTACAAATATACCCCAGCGACTTAAGACTGCTTTTGTGCTCCAGGGTCGCATAATTATGTATTTTCCTGTTATGTTTCCTCATTGAAATGTCATGGCAAGGCCTGCTGACCAATAATTTGACCTCATGATCCTCTCATGTATAAATTCATACAGCGATTAATGACAAACTCTTTGTCTTTCAGTGAGCATTTTAATTGTACAATTATAAAATCATTATCAAGAGTTTCTTGCTTCTCTGACACCCATCCCCTCCCAGACCGGACGGCGAGTCATTGTCATAGTTCTTTCACAAAAGACTGCCAACAAAGACACCTCTTACACTCACAGCTGAATAAGAACCCATGGGGCAGCTGGATTAAAGCGCATGACGTCATCCAGCTGCTGAAACGGACACATAATCATGTCTAAACCCATGCAGAAACATCAACCTGCGCTCAGATTGGACGTAGTGTTTATACTGATCATGCAAATGTGACCGTTTCCACTATAAAGAAGGTTTTATGGAATGAAAAGATTCCATGGATGTTAAAGGTTCTTTATCGAACCATCGATGCCAATGAAGAACCTTTATTTTTAAGAGCGTATAATAACTTACATTTTTAAATGATCAATAAATAGGACTCAAAGTTAAGCATATGTGACCCTGGAGCACAAAACTAGTCTTAAGTCACTTGGGTATATTTGTAGCAATAGCCAAAAAATACATTGTATGGGTCAAAATTATACATTTTTCTTTTATGCCAAAAATCATTAGGATATTAAGTAAATTTCGAGAAATTGACCCTTATGACTGGTTTTGTGGTCCAGGGTCACATATTTTAAATTTAAATATAAAGGGAGGGAGGGAGGGATATATATTGAGGGATATATATAAAAATATATGGATTAAAGTTTAACGGTGTTTTAAATTATCCTGTTTTCTAGTTTAACTAAGCTAAATCGGTTTTATATAAAGTGTGTTAGCAAGAATGTTGGCAAGGCTTCAGGTGACCTAAACAGTTTTGTTCTCATCTATATTCTGAAGGTTTTTATAGAAGGGTTTGTTCATATATCATTCACCTGGTTTTATACAGCATATTATTCCTAAAACTGTATTAAAACTGTGTTTTTTCTAACTGTTGATAGTATTTTCTGTTATGGAGTGATAAAAAGAAATATCCAAAATCCCTTCTATAAAAACATTTGAATATATCAACAAAATAAAACAAAAATGCGTAACCTGGCTTTATCCAATGTTCAGATTCATTTTCTGGCAATGTATGCAAGTTAGTGCCTATTTAACTACATAATGCCTTATTTGCATACTTCAACATAACATATGAGAAAACTATACACTATAATTTTTGCAATTCTTAATTTAAGATATTCACCTGTATTGTCTTGCCATAATGCAATAATGGTGCTATATATATTTTCAGTATATTCATTTTTGAATAAACTCGAGCTGTTGATCAATTAAGTGTAATGTTTATTATGAATTCTTAACAAAAAGTGATCATAAATGCAATATTTGTTACCTGTGAGTTGGTGAAGTTCAGGTGCTCTGGCAGACCGTCTGGTGTGTGTTCTGAAGCACTGCTCATGGCTCTTATTTAAGTGTGTGTTGGCACTCCTCCTTCATTACTGATGAGCAACATTACAGTCCAGAAAAGTGGATCTATTCCTTCTGTTACTGAACAGGAAATATTCCAAGAAAAACGAATCATAATGAATCATGAGCATCAGAGTCTGATCAAAATCTGTGAATCACAAAAAGCAATTAATTTATATAAAAGCCATGACAATGAATATATTTCTGCTGTCTGAAAGCAATTAAAAATCTGTTCAACAAGAATATAAGAATATATTATTATTATTAATATATTAAAAATTGCATATTATTATTATTGTTGTTGTTGTTAAACATGCAGAAATGTCAATATAATAATATTATTATTATTATTATAAAAATTACATTATGAGTAGTAGTAGTAGTATTTATAAGTCTTTAGAATTGGCAATAATAATAATAATAATAATACACCTGTTTAACAAGAGTATAAGCCTTATTATTATTATTATTATTATTATTATTATTACTGCTTTTTATTAGTAACAGTTCTTAAACATTTTATATTATTATTATAATTAAGCATGTACAAATGGCAAAATAATAATAATAATAATTATTATTATTATTATTATTATTATTGCTATTTCTGAAGCCTTATAAATGCTACTACTCATAATGTAATTTTAATAATAATAATAGTGCTTTTTAAGGCCTATATTGTTGTTAAAATTATTATTATTATTATTATTATTACTGCTTTTTATTAGTAACAATTCTTAAACATGGTAAAAAAAAGTTTTATATCACTTATAAACTTTTTATTTTTTATTACAATTATTGTTGTTGTTTTGTTATCTAATGTTAATATTTAGTTTATATCTATTTAAAATTGAAGTACATTATTTCTGCTCCACTAGTGTCACTGTACAAGAGTCACAGAGGTATGTCCCATTTCACATATTTCTGTACTATTCTTTACCATTTTGCAGTATGAAATGGTGCATATTAAAGCCTAGATATATCTATATTGTGCATATCTAACCTTTTGAACCTTCACACCCAAATAACAAATGCACACACTCATGCACACATATAGACATATTAATATTAATTAAACATGCTTCCATAAAGCCCTCTGATGTTTTACATAAGGTGACACAGAAGAAGAGAAACCTGACACATTTCACAAAAACATGAAAAAAGTGAAACGGAGGGAGGGAGGGAGGGAGGGAGGGATGAGATTAGCATGAAGAAACAGAAAAGAGGTGTGTGTCCTCTCATTTTGTGTCATTATTGTCATCGGTCTGGTATGATAAGAGCCGAGTGTGTGTGAACGGGTGGGTCGATCTGGGTTATGCTGTCACACTCATAACAATTACACAGACGTTTATCAAACTCTTTTACAAGTAACAGCGTGTGTGCTGGAACCAGTTACCAATGAGGTTTGCATATTAAAATAATACCATATCTGCATTCACCTTCTTCTCAATGACAGTGGAGCAGAAGTACACACTTGAATTGATTGTTATTGTAAAGAAAAGACAAGGAATTGTATTAAATGTAAAGTAAGATTAAAGAGTAAAACTAATTTACTGTCACTTATTGTTTGACCGCTTTTATCTGTTTTTATGTAAATTTGTACAAGTTTTAAAAACTTCAGCTATTTTAGGAGGCATGTAGATCAAAACGTTAAAACATTACACTCTAAAAAATGCTGGGTTAAATATAACCCAGCGCTGGGTTATATTTAACCCAGCATTTTTTAGAGTGTATATCTGCCATTAAAACTGGTGAAAAAAGGGGAAAATATTTGGGTTACAGTCTGAGTCTCAGGTCAAACTAATCCTGTTTGTGTCTTATGATTAAAAAGAAAACCTTATTTTAATATCCTAAAAAGATTAAACTTTCGTTTAAAAGAGTAATGATAATTATATGACAGTCTGATTAAACACACACCCACGTATTAGCATTTCCACAACTCACGGTCTGAGTCATTGAAGAACTTTGGAAATAAAATTATTAAGTCAAACTTCACTGAATGTGCAAATACACTTCATCTAGACGTCACACAGCGGAGCAGAATCAGCAGATGTCAAACAGTGATTCAGTACAGACACGCACTGAATTAAACACTATTTCTGACACCCATAATTGATTAAAGAAACAGTCACAACAGAAGTCACAAACATGTCATGCAGTTGAAGATTATTCTTGTTTTTTACACACTGACACACACTCCAACCTGCATGATCTGAAAAATTAATCAACGTACTATCATTTAAAGTTGGTTCCCTTTCATGGGAACTTCGAACTGCGTCCTCTAGGGGTCGCTATGGGGAACGCCTCGTCGTGACCCGTGTCTAAAGCATACATTGAAAAAACACCAACTCGTTGGCCGGCGACAGCCATGATGTCACTACCGGTGCGACTATAGTATAAATAGGCGCCGGGAGCACACATCATTCTCTTCTTCGTCTTCATTGACTGTTTTGTTTGAAGCGTGCATTTCTGA